AAGATGAGTGCAGGACATTTCATCCAGGTCAATCCTAATACTTGTTGGAATAAACTAAGGGCCATGAGAGAATACAACACACATCATGGCCAGGTGCTATTTGAACTCTCTTAAATATATCAATACTTGTAATTCTCACAACTGTGAGGTAGGTACTACTAGCATCCTTATTTTATTAAAAAATTTTTTTTTAATTTTATAAAGATTTTATTTATTTATTTGACAGAGAGAGAGAAAGCAAATGGGGGAGAGGCAGGCAGAGGCAGAGGGAGAAGCAGGCTTTCCACTGAGCAGGGAGCCCGATACAGGACTCGCTCCTGGGACCCTGGGGTCACGACCTCAGTCCGAGGCAGACGCTTAACCTACTGAACCGCCCAGGTGCCCAGCATCTCTATTTTAGACATAAACACACAAAACAAAACAGAACCAGGGTACAGACAGCTTATAAAACTTAGGGAAGTTCATTCAGGAAGTATGTGGTAGATCTGGGACTACAATGGTCTGTCTTGTTATCAGAGTGAGTTTTTTTCAAGTCCTGTGTTATATACCATCTCTCCTTAAGAAAAAGTGAGAAAGGCCTACAGATATTCCAAAATGGAAGTACTCATCCTCTGATGGGATGCTTTAAATATGCTTTAAAGACAAAATCCATGAAGGATGTCCTGACTCAGAGGAAAGAGGAGGGAATTTCTGGCGAAGGGGTCCATGGGAAAGGATATGATGAAACAGGAAATGCAGGGACACAGACATGGGTGTCCACAGTATACGAGAGAGATAAGGCTAGAAAAGCACGGAGGATCCATGTCATGGACCTTCTTGAATGCCAGGGAGAGGAGTTTACTCATATCCTAGAAAGCCAGGGCAGGGGGCTCCTGAAGGTGATGGGGCAGAAGAACCACCGTATCAGATGTAGGCAGGAAGAAGGAATATGGGAGCAGAGAGCAGGATGGCTTGGAATAGGGAAAAACGGGAGGTAAGAACGAGAAATGAGCAGGCAAGGACGGAAGTCCAGCTAAGAACAGAAGACAAGGACCTGCAGAGATGATGACTTCTATCCCCAATTTCTGTCTCATCATCATGTTTTTACTGAAAAGTAGCTCATGATTATGAAGGAAGTTGTGAACTTCTCAGACTTCAAGCAATTCTTGTCTTGTGCCCATCTAAGAGGCTAGTCTTCTGGAATGCTTTCAAAACTTAACTCTGACCTCAGTCATTGATGTGTGTGTTCAGAATGCCTGTTTTCATAAAACCTTGGACTAATTTATGCTCCAAATGCCAGTCAGTGAGACGTCCGCATTTTTTCCAGTTGGATATTCATTTTAATTTAAAGTGGAAATGCCACTGATCACAAAATTTACACTTTCAGAGAAGATGTAGTAAATTCAGTGAAAAGGAATGACTTAAACATGAGAGGGAAAGAAAAAATATTCAGAAAGATGTGCAGGATGTCTGTCTGTCAATGCTGTTCAGCAACAGAATTAGGTTTATGATCTGCACCTAAAGGCACAGGAACTTAGGGGTTGACGGTTCCTGCTGTCCACACAGCTAGAATGTGCTTCCATCACCGGCTCATGACAGGAAACCCATCGAGAGGGGACTTTGGGCTTCCTGGTACAGAGGTGTTAGGCAGGCACATGGGCAGTGGTTCCAAATCTGGAGACAAAGTGCAGCCTGTGTAACTGAGCAGGGAGGGGACAAAGAAGCACATACTTGGGTCAGACTCTGATCAATGCATACCCTTCGTCTACAGCTGCCATACTACAGCCTTTGCCTGTAAGGAAGCTGTCCTTGGAGCAGAAACCATTTGAGTCCCATGAGTCCTTTCTGTGCCAGAACATGTGGGGGTGACGAATGTGTCATTAACACAGGTGGGGAGATCTGATTCTCTCTGACGGCTCCAGCCAGCCAAGAGGCTCTACAACAAGTGGTGTCTGTGGGACTTGCCAAGTGTGGGGATGGATGGTAACCAGGGAGCTGTTCAGGCTGCTTCCATTTAATTAACTTATTTGCAATATCATTATTCCTTACAGTGTTTAAGATACCATTTTAGGTGCTACGAGTTACACAACTATGAATAAGATACAGCTTGTTCGCAATCCAGATGGGGAGATGAGAGAAATATGCAAGTAACTCTACTGCCAAGCAGCCTCTTATCTATTCCTTAAAAGTGGTGCAAACTGGGGCGCCTGGGTGGCTCAGTGGGTTAAAGCCTCTGCCTTCGGCTCAGGTCATGATCCCAGGGTCCTGGGATAGAGCCCCGCATCGGGCTCTCTGCTCGGCAGGGAACCTGCTTCCTCCTCTCTCTCTGCCTGCCTCTCTGCCTACTTGTGATCTCTGTCTGTCAAATAAATAAATAAAATCTTAAAAAAAAAAAAAAAGTGGTGCAAACTAGCACGATCTCTCTTGAAGATAAGCACGGAGAAGGGAGGCACTGTCTCAGGCCAAGGGTCAGAGTGTCCCTGATGAGCTTTAAAGTATGGGCAGGGTTTATAGTTCCAGAATGAGGGGTGAGGTGGCAGGAGGATTGTTCTGGAAGATAGGCTGACATAAGCAAAGTCCCAGGGGAGGACTAAGTAGTGTAGACTTATCAGCTGGGGTGAAGGATGTTGGATTTCAGTGTTTTGGGACAGGTTTGCAGTTTGAAATTTGGGTTGTTTAGAGCAGAGTGATATGCTGGGCTCTTAAAATTGTCACTGGCATACAAGAAAGGAGAGATGAGTGGGGGGAGGAGAGGCAGGGAGACAGCAATGAAGGGGTTACTGCAGTAGCCCAAGAATAAAGTCAAGGGGGCCGGCAGAGGTGGGCGGCATTTATTTGTGTTCACTCAGTTCTGGGTAGAATTTTTTCTGAGAGGGTTGTAAATTTTTTTTTCCCCCTCCGTGGGGGTTTTGCTTTGAATCTGAGAATTCAGAAAAGTGCAGAGAGAAAACGTATGACTTATAACTGCATAATGATAGGACATGTCATGTTGAACACTAGCTTCTTGTGTAAAAGTATCTCCTGAGTGAGAATCAGCGCTCCCTGAGGTCAGGACACCATCTTCCACATTCCCTTCTTCCCCAGACCCCAGAGCTGGTGCTGGGTGTGCAGCAGAGAGGCAAATGCTTGTCAAACAGTGACAGTGTACAAGGTGAGGTGACGTGAGCACCAGGGTCTATCACATCTCAGTGAGATGCTCAGATGACAAAGGTGACCGTGCGTCCAAGCCCGTGCTGTGTGGAAAGTGAGCGCTGACAGACACATCCACCGATGGGGTAACTTTATCCAGTCAGTCTTGGGATGGAGGGGAGCTAACTTTTGATCAGGGGAAGCTAGGACAGTATTCCTTTTTGTGTGGGCAGGTCAGTATCTACGTGATATGTCACAGATGAAGGATAACTAGGATTCTTGCTTATCACAAAGACAGAAAGTCAACATATGTCAAGCGACATAGCAGGGGTTTCTTCATACCCAGAGGTTGTACCACAACAAGGCCCCATGCTTAGGTTCCTTTCCCCATGACTTCACAAAGAAGATGGAAAAAACTGTACCCCCTTTGGGGGAAAGGGAAGGGCAGTGTGCTATGTTTGTGTGTGGAGGACGGACAAATGTGGGATGCGATGTGCACCATCAGTAGAACATTCTCCCTTTGTAAGTTTTTATCTTCAATTCTAGTATAGTCAGTGCACGGTGTTATGTTAGTTCCAGGTACACAATATAGTGATTCAACAATTCTATTCACAGGAAAATATTTTTAGCTGATTCCTTCTTATTTCCTTGCAGGAAGTAGCAATAAGTCACATCGCTTGCTGCATGAAGACTTTGAAATATACTGGCTGGGATTACCCAAACATGACCAAAAAGACACCTTTTTTATAACCCCTCACATTAATTACGGAGCAGATGAACATGTCAGAGGCTTCTAAAACAGAGGGTTGTAAAGAGTTTGTGGCCTGGCACGACGGATAAGTGGATGCCACTTACAAAAAACAGCACTAACCCTCCCTCTGAGTCACCTCCAAGGATTTACATCTCATTTTGAAATTTACTCTCTAGTTATGTCATAAAATCCAAATTATGGCTTCATGACTCTGGAACAGCCAATGGAACAGCAATTGCGTAAGCTCAGTTAGGTACATGGTCTTCCCTTCCTTTATCGTTCATGAGGACTCCGGCGCATATGTCAAATGATGAGAAAATCCTTCCCTGGAATGTAATTAAAGGCACCTGCAACGGATGAGGATTTGCTTTAGGTCATGTGAGGAATTTAGAAGAAGCATAAAAAGTGGGTCTTGTCTTCAAGCTCAACATAATCACTTAGTTCATGCAGCCACACAGCTCCTTGAGTTCTGCACACGGTACTACCATATATGCTCAAGTCCTGTCGAGGTACATCTACCGTGCAGCAACGGACAAAGTTTCATGGGAACAAGGAGGCAGAACAAGTCTTTGGTGTTAGATAATTTAGAGAAGCTTCCCCACAGAGCTGATGTCTGAGTTCAGTCTTGGGGATGAAGAGGAGATTGTCAGAGGACACGAGGAAGATATGCAATGGCATTTTAAGGAGAAAAGATAGCTCACTTGAAGGCAGAGTTTTGGAGCATAAGATGACATGGTTGACAACTTTGTCAGTGTGATCACGAGGTATAGAAATATCTCACAACCATAATAACGATATAATACCCGATTTATAAAAGGAGGTAGGTTCTTAAAGTCAATAAACTATCGTCAACAAACATTGTTGATCCACAATGTTATTTACTCTTTTTTTCCTTCTCATTAATTTGGTTTTACTTAACTTCTAAGGATAAGCAAATCAGAGAAATAAAGCAGCAACCTTGCAGGGAGGCTGAAAAAGACATCCTTTAAAAATATATGTATTTTTTACTTATTTGTGCAATTTCCATCAGTCCTTCATCTGGGTACCAAATCTCAAATGCAGCAAAGAGAGGATGGCAGCCTGAGTTACAGTAAAGCATGGGAAAGATCACTGCTGATAGAAAAAGGACTGAAATTCTTACTTGTCCCTGGTCCCGGATTAACTCTTTGCAGACTCTGGGATGCTCTGCCAAGGATTGCTGGTGTGGCTGGAACAGAGAGAGAAGAAAACCATTAGTCACCCCTGTGAAAATTGTCTGATGTGACCCCGTTACAATTTCACTTTCCAGTGACAAAATGTGACCTGGCCCAACCTCACAATAATTCTCGCCCTTGTTTTCCGTCTTTCTTTTTAAAATTAAAATCACACCTACCCTCTAAAAAGAACTCATAAATATGAGAACACATGGAAACCCAGGGTTAGTCACCTCTGGTCTCCTGGCTAGATGTGGTCAGGAACAATGCAAAAATGCCTTCCTAGAACATTAAAGTCCAAGCTTGAGTCTTGCTAATGAAAATGGAGAGGAACACAAATTTTTTTTTTTTTTTCCAAAACCGGATTAAAAACAGTTTGGTCAAACAAGTTAATTCTTGGAAATAAACATGTGAGCAATCCCGGGAATGGGGAAGGGATGAGGGGAACTGAAAAGTTAGCGCGGACACAGAGCTTTGTGACGTGAGATGGGCAATGAGTCATCAATTCTAAAAGCAGTTATAAGTCTATGGATACTACTATTATGTTGCATTAAAATGAGAAGAACGGAAAAGGATTAGTGTAGTTGTCATTGAACTGTTGAACCGGGTTGTTTTGATACGAGAGTATACAACAATTATCTGGGCTTGGTGGAGAGGGGATTTTTCTAGGATTCTACACCTCCTTAGAGGGGTGATGTGGTCCAGGCTCATGATGAACTCTGAGCCTCACTTGAAAGCAGGGAAACTGCTGATGATTCTGGCCCTTGGTAGAAATCCACAAAACAACGCTAAGACATCTTTCTCCGATTATAAAAATAGGGCGAGGAACAAAACAAAGGTGCTCTGGGCAGGGAGCTGAAATTACTGTCCTCCTGAATTTCAGAGGCAGGTGGGTCCTGCCCACCCGCCCAGATCCACTTTCCAGTGGCCCTTTTCACTAGCCCCTCCCACCTAGCTATCAGTAGGAAGCCGCTCTCAGGGCTGGTGTTCATGATAATAGAACCTAACAGGTGAAGTTAAGAGTCTCTCATTAAACTCCGCACAATTCTAACCTTTGTAAACCTTTGGGTCTGGGCATATTAGTGAGGGCATTTTTCCAAGTGAAGTTAGGCTTTGGGGGTTTCGTTGAGTTCATATTTTAAATTCTGTACAAATAGGAGTTCTGAAAGCATTTCTTTTTATTCTCTAAGTTTCAATATTAGAAGCTCATTTGCTGCCAAATGCAATAAAGAATTATGACAAAAAGCAAACAGAATACACATTTACCTAGAGTAGCTAATGTATTACACATTGATTTAATGTGCTCAGAAGGAAAATTGCATTTTATGGAAATCCCCTCAAGGCTACTTGACTAGATGCCTTGAGAGCCTACTTGACTAGATGCCTTGAGAGCCTAAGTCTTTGTTACTACTATCATCTAGAACTTGTCCTCCTCCAATTCCTTGCTACAAACCAGAGAACACTTTGTTTTATGACCCTTTGCCTTAGGTTAGGCACTAAAACATTCTTCTCAGTTGAGGTTTGGCAAGTTTACATAATTTCTAACTGCAAATGACCTGTTTCACGGACAACTGTATACACCTTGAGAAACATTTGGTAGCTCAAAGGAAGAGTAATATTAAGTCAATCATGGGAAGCCATACAATCATACGTGTTATTTTAGTCAAAATTATCCAGCAAGTGTGTGTCAATTTTCAGCTTAAAACTGGGAACACTTAACGGACACCATTTTCCAGGCACAGATCAGCAGCAAAGCTGACAAATTTCTCCAGAATGATGACTGAGATGGAATGTGGGGGTCAATTATGAGGCCCCAAGGGAGGGTGCAGAGCCAAACCTCAGGCCCGGAAATGCCTGGGGAGCCCTGGCCACCCCTGACTCCTCACAAACCAGGATTTTGCTTTCCTTGCAGACAGACATCTGGTGCTTTCCTCTTTATGATATCAGCATTTGGTAACATTTTCATAAAGCAAAAAGTCCTCCTCAGTTAACACTCTCCACAATATGTGATGAGTCAAGACATAAAAGGAACAAATGGCGTCCTCAAGGGAACACCGCAGATTTGTGCCAGCCCCACGAGGGTGCTGTATGCAAAAGCAAACACGATAAATAAAAGTGTCTTCTTAGCAAACAGAAGGGTCATGCTAAGTTGCCAATTTTAATTAGCGTCAAAGCTGTCCTTTTGTCTGTACGTGCAGAGCAGTGTGGGAGAAACAAACACAGGGTGTTTAACAATAAGTAGTTAATGAAAACTCCAATATATTTAATACAGAAGCTTTTAAGCGCCAGTGCCATAAAAGAGATCAGCTAGAGCCCCTGCCCTCAGTGAGCTCACAGTCTTCTGGGTGGAAGGAGTGGCCAAGCCATGGGGTGGCCCTTAACAGCTTCCAGGGGAGGGGGACTCCTTGAGACAGGTGCTGAACTTGGGATGAACAGGCAACGGAGAGAAAGGGAAAGGCAGCTGGGACCAGGGGAACTGCTGCACCAAGGCCAAGGTGAGACACAGCTTGGGCAGGTAAAGAGCTCTGATCTGTCTGTCGAGAGTAGGCAGAGCACAGCTGAACTGGGGTGTGCTGAGTTGGGGGAGAAGTCAGGGACATCTTGGGGATGGTCTTTCCAAAGAACTTAATTTTGATCCTGCAAACACTGGAGAAATCCTGCCTTCCAGTGCCCTGAGGTAGAGCTCCTCACAGTGGACCTGCCCAAGAACAGGATCCCGAGACTAGAACTAATTGCCATCTAATCTTCTTACTTATGCCCAACCTGGTACTCAACTTCCCAACTATGGCACGTATCTGAACCTGTTTCTCCATCTATAAAGTGGAGACAGTGACAGGTGTATACATGCAACATTCAATTCAGTTAGTACACACAATATAACAAATATAGAATATAAGTGCTTAGTAAATGTTAGATTTTTTTTTTTTTTTTGGAAGGAGGGGAAAAGGAGAGGGAGAATTTTAAGCAGGCTCCACGCTGAGTGCAGAGCCAGACATGGGGCTTGATCTCACAACCCTAAGATCATGGCCTTGACCAAAATAAAGAGTTGGATGCTTAACTGACTGAGCCATTCGGGTGCCCCAATGTTAAATATTCTTATCATAGCTATGATTATGGTCAGTTATTGCTAGCCACTACCCTGAAAGCAAGGCACATCTTTTCCCGCGGAGACCTCGACAGTGTTTTTACACTAGACCATGTGAGCCGAGGGCTTCGCACTTATGAGGAGAGAATGCTGCCCTAAGCCCAGTGAGACCCCCATTATTTACATGTGTTGTGCAGGCTGTATGTAGGCAGCGGGATTCTGGGGAAATGATTCTAGTGGCGTAGGGGATGGAAATGTACTTGTGTCCCAGATTCAGCCTGGGACTAAATGCAGTCACTCCCAGCTCTTGTAATTTAGTGACTACTCCATCAGGATGGGAGATAGAGTGAGAGGATCAGTGTTCTGGGGAGTACTGACTGTAATTTACCAGTTGTGCAGCAATGGCGTCTAGAACCAGCCCCAGATCGACCCCACAGACACAAATAAGTAAACCTAGGTACTGACTGCGGCAACCATTTTACACGTGATGAGACATAACGTAAAGGGCCTCACACGGTGGCTGCCGTAAATGAAGCCTTGGTTAATGTCAGCTATTGTTGTCACTAGTAGCTTACAATAACAATAATGATGATGTAAGTGCTATGAAATCTCTACCTCAAGACTTCCTCTGTGATCATCATTTTGCGATACATCCATCCATCAGATCATTATGCTGTACACCTTAAACACACACAATGTTTTATGTCAATTCTATCTCAACAGAACTGGGAAAAAGAACTTCTGAGAGCTCTTGCTTTCTCCTTCAGGCAGGTTAGTTGTTCTCCACCCAACAGCCCTGGTTATTGACTTTTTTTTTTTTTTTTTTAAAGATTTTATTTATTTGACACAGAGAGGGAGAGTACAAGCAGCGGGAGCAACAGAGGGAGAGGGAGAAGCAGGCTCCATGTTAAGCAAGGAGCCCAATGTGGGGCTCAATCCCAGGACTCTGGGATCATGACCTGAGCTGAAGGCAGAGGCTTCACTGACAGACCACCCAGGTGCCGCTACATATTGCCTTTGTACCCCTTGAGGTCACTGCTCCCTTGCTTGTGCCCCGTGATGCACTGTGAATTTCTTGAGGTGGGTATTTCATCTTTGTACCCTCCGGGAGGAGTACATGCCATGACACCTTGTAGAATCACAGTGTTTGCTAAATAAACGAGGCAAATGAAGATGAATCACAAATCCTTTAAACTTTGGGGCTAAAAGGGAATCAAATAAAAATAATCTGTTCTCAGCAAATTGTGTTTCTCCCAGGAAATCTCAAGTTTGCTTGACTACTTTCCCTGTCTTTTTGACGTCTATTTATCCTTGACCACACATCAGAAATGTTCTCTCCTTGGGTTTCCATGTCTATAACTCTTTCCAGACCCACCCCTCGCCTTCTCTCTCCTTTTCTGTCAAACTATGATCAGTATCACTACAGAGTATTCAGTTTAGTTATCTCCCTCCAACCTGCCCCTGCAGTAAGGTTCAAGGTCAAGCTCAGTGTTTGGTCACATTGATGCCACACCCCAAACTGTCTTGTGGTCTGTGAAGGGGTTGGCTGATGGCCAAGTTAAAAAATGTGAGGTGCTTCTATCTCACGTTTATTGTGTGCTTAAAATGCACCAGGCACTATGCTTTCTGGACTTCCCCATTTTAACTCCACAATGACCCTCTGCAGCATTGTTATGAGTTAGTTACATTTTATGGACGAGGGGTTGGAGGTTCCGACCAACTAATTAACCTGTCCTGGGCTTCCCAGCGGTTACACGGTAGAAGCCAAAATTGAAGTGGAGCCAGATTCTGACTGCACCCCACTCTCCTGTTCCCCAAGCTTCCTGACCACCAAGAGCCACTACGGCGTTTGTTCAACACATGGATTCCAAGGTCCTGTCTCGGATCTGCAGGATCTGAATCTCTAGGGAACTGGTTGGTCTATTGGCA